TTCAGAGTCTCTGAACCAGTAAACACTGTGTTCTTCATCACAGGTCCCAGTGTGTACTGTACAGTTCAGAGTCACAGAGCCTCCTGGTTGGATGGTCTCAGATGCTGACTGCTGCACTAAAGTTGGGATGTTCGACCCTGAACCTTTTACATCAATGACAGTACCCTCTGCAAATGTAAACCTGTACCCATAGCTGCTTGCACAATAGTAAGTAGCAGAGTCTGAAATGTCCAGATCTTCTATCTTTAAGTCAATTTTTCCTTTTTCAGAATTCACAGTGAATCGTGGATCAGTCTTGAATTCATCATGAAGCGTGGGTTGGGTGTCCACTTTGTTGAGAACAAATGAGGAAATGAGCTTTGACTCCTTTCCCAAATGTAACTTATACCAGTAAAACCTTGCCACATCGTTACCTTCATAGAAACAGCGCAGAGTCACATCGTCCCCAGTATTAGCTGATACAAAATGTCTTTCTTGATGAAGAGACAAGGAGAATTTGAGGTCATTTGTGTGAGCTGAAATAAAATGAAAGAACGCAAATGAACATTTTAGACACAAGGAAGGACGGAAAAAGTTTCATGCTCCAGTTTTAAAAAACTCACCCATTTCCCCCAAGAACAAACATGTCAGATAGAAGACAAACTGTGCTGATGCCATCGTGTTCAGACTCTGGTGCTGAATGAAAAGATTCTTCAGCCTCACTTTGCTGTTCAAAGAAGACTGTGTTTGATTGGCCAACCACAAATGACACAGAATGTTCTATTTGGGGAGTGTGATCATGTGTCAACTGACGTCTATATGTTAAGCTCAGTGTCTGGACTGTTAGTAAACAACATAAATGACGGTAAAAAACTAGTTTGGTAAAGGAAGACCAATCTAGTCTTCCCTAGTAATCTAAAACCCATGTTCTAGTTGACCTTTGTTTCCATTATACCACAATATTTCATGTTTTTTGCAGCATACTTTAGGAAAGTGTCATTTCCTGTTTGAAATATGGTGTTCAATACTGGCTGGTTTTCATAGTATGAACTTTTACCATATGACAAACAGCAGTTCTGTCACGGGTTGCTCTGAGGATCCACTCGCAGGACTCCGGAGTTGTGTTTTAACAGAGATGGTTTATTTACAAGAGCTTCACCAAGTGTATTAACAGACAGTGCAAGGATAGAGCTATATACAAGATGTGAGAGGGAGGGTTCCAGGGCTCCAGGGAAAACAAGGGAATCACACACGCGCTCACTCCAACCTCTCTCTCTTTCTCCGCTAGTGACCAGTCACTGCTTCCTCACTCCACACGGGGAAACATGGGGACACAGAGACACACGTTAACTTTCTGAGACGGCAGCATGCGAAACTTGGCCTTGACGTGACAAGTTCCATGGTTTTTCGTTCAAAGACAGTTTTTGTAGTTTACCTCTATAGTCCAACACAGTGGATTATTAATTAAACAATTAAGATGTCATTGATTTCCAGGATTACAACTTCAGCTTTTAAACAAAGAGTTTTTGAGGGTTTGTTGCATTAGCTGTAAAGGAATTAAATATATTTTTATAATATACAAATTCCCTATTTTCAAAGTGTCCAAATTCATGGAGTAATTGACTAACAAGCAGTTTCGTGTCTGTCTCCTTGTTATATAATTCTAAATTAAGCAGCAATTTAAGCAAGCAAGTGTTTATACGGCAAGCATCAAAGTAAACACTGAACATGGTAGCTCTCCCAGAGCTAAAGCAGACATACAGTTACAACCAAAGCACACTTAAGCTGCCAATATACCCTCACGTCACTCACTGCTGCACTGTCATCACACAGATGCAGCCATTTATACCCACCATCAAGGTTCAAGAAGCCACTTGCAGTTCATTAATTTTTTTATTTATAAAGCGCCAAATCACAGCAACAGTCGACTCAAGGTGCTTTATATTGTAAGGTAAACCACACAATAATACATACACAGAAAATCCCAACAATTATATGACTCTCTATGAGCAAGCACTTTGGCAACACTGGGAAGGAAAAACTCCTTTTTAACGAAAAGAAACCTAATCTTACAAGTAGAGATAGTGTATGCTTCCTGAATCCAAACTGGAAGCTGGTTCCATGGAAGAGTGGCCTGAAAACTGAAGG